CATCACGCCGTTGCAATGTTACAAAAGCACATGGTGGGTGAGACAGGACATCGTCGCTTCGCTCCTCCTTGTCCACATGCGTCGCCCACATCTCGTCCATGTGTTGCACGCGTGCACACCTGATCAGACTCATCACGGGAACTGCCAGAGCCACACACCCACACATACGTGTTCGCCAACGCCCTCGCATCAATCAGCCATCCGCGACAGTGGCCATCATTTCATCAGCTTCGAAGGAGTGCTGCCAGCACAACCCACCCCTCGCCGCTTGTGCGTAACCGCATCACCACCCACCTTCTCCCCCTGGTTGTCGTCTTCGTCGTTGTGGCGGTTCTGCCTGCTGACTGGTGGCATGCATCGTCGCCCTCAGTTCATATCATGTCCATGTCTCTATCTATTCGTGTCATGTATGTTCAGCCCCCGTGCACCCCTCCCTCCTCACTTACCGCATTTTGGTGTTGTGCCACCGCACTTGCTCCTCTGCCTCCAGTACATGAACAGCGGTGATTTCACGGCGTGCGTGCTTTCCCTCGGCCACACGGACGCGAGTGAGGAAGCAACTCTTGCATCCTGCATCTCAGGGTGCCAATCAAGCAACTCAACCTGCCGGTGAGTTGTGAAAGGCTGACGCAGCGGCGTCTTGGAGTGTCGGGGTGTACGCTGTGTACATACAGCTAACAGCAAGTAGTTGACTATGAACTTGCTATCTGACACGTTTTGTACTCTGTTCGAGATTCCTTCTTGGCAGTGCTTGCGCCTAAATGCCTATTGGGTGTCATTCTGGTCCTGCATCAGTGCTTACCTCTGCTGCCTGATGGCCATGCATTTTGCTCACAAACTGGCTTTGCTTGCGTTGCGTTCTGCATTTTGCAGAGCCGACTGTGCTTTGAGCACCAGTGACTTTGTCACAGCGTCCACAACAAGTTCGCCCGCTTCGACTACAACAACAACCACAACTACGACCACCACAACAACGACAACTACCACAACAACCACAACAACCACAACAACCACAACGACCACAACAACAACGACAACAACTACAACGACAACAACTACAACAACAACCACAACGACTACAACAACAACCACAACAACAACCACGACCACGACAACAACAACCACAACAACCACAACAACAACAACAACAACAACAACCACAACAACAACCACAACAACAACAACAACCACAACAACAACCACGACCACGACAACAACAACCACAACAACAACCACGACCACAACAACAACCACGACCACAACGACTACGACAACAACCACAACAACAACAACAACCACAACAACAACAACCACAACAACAACAACAACCACAACAACAACAACCACAACAACAACAACAACCACAACAACAACCACGACAACCACTACCACCACGACAACAACTACACCTCCGCTGCGTTGAGCTCTCTTGCACACGACCATATGCTCACCAACGCCTTCCAATGCAGCTCATTGCTTCATCAACGCCCATGCCACATTCACATTTACATGTTTTACTTTCGTACTACGCTCCTACGCTCGCTCTCCCATTCTCGATGGTCCACGCTTCATTCGTGCCATAGCAACTGCTTCTTTCCGTGTTGTGGTGTGTACTTTTGAGTAACAACCGTCCAATATCTACACCGCCCAATACCCATCATCCAA